CTATGGATTCCAAAACAACACTGTACTTTTTTTTGGTGATTCAAAATAATTACTAAAATTGCAGAAAAGCATGTGGTTGTGCCTCGACTTCTCAAGATCATACAAGAGTCTCATATCAGAAAAAGAAAAAAGAAAGACCCACCACAACCAAGTTGATTTTAATACTATTACTAGACAGATTCTTTGTAAGAAGATATTTATTATAAAGAAACCGAATAATTGCAGCAGATATATACTATTAAGAAAGGGAGAGATTAAGACAAATCACACTAGTAACCTGCTCCTTTAAAAATGAGAAAATGAAACTGAGAAGTGGCATGGATTAAAGGGTCTGGTTAATACCTGCACAAAGGCCCAGCCATTGCCGTGCTCGAATATGAAGTCCATGAGTTTGAGACAGCAATTAGCGCAGCAAAACATGAACTCGTCTTCACCTTTGAGCAAATTCAGTCCTCTTGCCACGATTCTTAGTGCTTCGATTGTTGGAACAAACAAAGATCCCAAACAAGCGCTCCCAAGGTTACGAGACAAAGCCCTTTGGAAACTAAACCGTGTACTAGACTGCATTCCCCGAAGATAGTACAAAGCAACGACCCGACTCACAGTTAGATTAACAACATTCCTCATAACTTCCGTCGTCCAAAGCAAGCTCAACACCAAGCCAATAATCACTAGTGGCGGATAATAGAAGTTCAAGGCACCGATTACACCGAAAATCCAAAGAGACATCCAGAGGAAACCAGCAGCTAGCATGTAGTAGGTTGGTAGATTAAGATCCGAGAACTTAGAAACAGGTTCTAACGACTTGACCAATATCTTGGAACAGAATTTGATCCTACGCGTGACCCAGCAAGCATATAAACCATTGCCAATAGAGAATGCAATAAGGCAAACCCCGATAGCATCGGTAGCTGGCATCTGGAAACACAGTAATAGAATTCCCGACGATAGAGACATCAAAAAGGTACTCCAAAGAATGAAGTGAATCATGAAATCAGGCCAAATCCTGAATGCCAATTGCCAGAGGAACGCGATTACGATGCTCAAGAACGATGCAGCTTCGACTTGTGGAAGTAGAAATCTGATGATCTTTTGCTCTTTCCTTTTGACACTACCATTGGATCCAATTAGACCTTGTACTCCTCTGAAGACAAGGAAGCATACAAACCCAACAGCTGCTACCTTGTGAACCATGAAGAGCAGTAGAAAGAACTTGTTTGTGTACTTTGTTGAATTCAATGATGCCAAAGTTTGCTGCAATCAAATTAAAAAACTTCAACTTACCAACTTAGCAACCCTTACAAATTTCAAAGAAGACCCACCAAAATTTCAATAAACAGAGTCCAAAAAACAATCAATTTCCTCCATATCTTTAGAACCCATTGAGGTGAGACAGAAATGGAAGCTAGCCAGTAATAGAAGGAATCTTTGATTAAATCCATGAAAAATGATAACTTTTTCCCAATTGAAATGCAAAATAGAAAGGAGATTGATTACTTGAGGGGTTGGGGTGAAGAGGGAACGAGATTGATGTTGAA